CTCTTTGTTATACAGCAACTCTTCGTGCGTTTCTGTTGAATACTCAAAGTTCGGGCCCTGGAAATTTGTTCTTTTTTGCACTCCTTCTAAAACATTACCAATTTAAAATTTACAAAACATATAGCAGAAATAGTTGCGAGTGAATCTGAAGTGCAGCAGAAGCGGTAAAACACAGCAGTTTTGCAGTAGAAACAGTAAAATGGATAAATGTATCCAAAATGCACTCCAGACGCATTCAAAAGATGCATTCAACGCACAGTAGGATCAATCGTGAGTGTATCTGAGGAAAGTAGGAGCAGTTATGTGTGTCGGTAAGTTATAAATACATCTCCAAGGTGTTGCAGATGCCGCTATCCAGGAAATTAAAATTTACAGAAAAACTAATTTCCGGAACGTGTAGCTATTGGTGTGAAGCAGTGCAAGAAGTCAGGAAAAATTATTCTGTGGTGACAAAAGTACGTTTCTCCCCCCTCTCTTCTTCGAATGCCCACATCTCTCATTCTTCTCTTTACGGCAACATCATCCCCACTAGTCAAACTGATAGTCTGTTCCTTCACCTGAATTGTCCGGAATAAAAATTTGGCTGGAAATTTCATCATTAGCGTGCAGTCTCGCAATATTTCATTGGGAGGATGTTTTCCAACGATTCATCACAGTAACAGCTGTGGCCTACCTCAACAATGGCATCGACGGGGCATGCTTCTTGACACAGTCCACAATAAATACATTTTGTCATATCGATGTCGTAGCGCGTTGTTCGACGACTTCCGTCCGGTCTCGCCTCCGCTTCTATTGTTATGGCCTAAGAAAATTAACGAAAATCTATCGTACATAAACATGGCGGAACTTCCTGCAACTCCCCGACTATTACAAATACAGACAACTGAAAACTATAATTCCCTGTATATAAAAAATTTTAAAATGCTTGCGAAACGAAGGCTACCACTTGTCGGTTTTGTATCCAAAAGTCCCATATCCTTAAAGTCTCAAAACTCCAATATTCAGCGGAATCAAAAGATCTAGAAAAACCACTAAAAATATTAAAAATATGGGCTGGTGGGGAACAGATCCATGCAGTAAGCAAAAAACGAATCCTACAGGAAAGTATGCAAGAAATAACAGTTTTCTAAGGTAAAATTGAGTTATACAAATGCTAAATTTGCGATTGGAATGGCCTGCCCAGAGGAATGGCAACAAAAAACAAGAAAGCTATTCTGCAATCGCAGAAATTTGAACAATTTACTATTTCACGAAAAAAAAAAGCCAGCAAGACGGGTGCCATTATGATAAAGTCTCAAAAAAATTTGTGAAAAGTTTATTTAAGAAATTTATTTAATTTATTTAAACTTATTTAAATAAAAAATTTATTTAAATCTCCAGCTAAAATGCTGTTTTTGCAACACAAACTGAGAATTTTACCTGTGCAGGACATATCGCTTCACACAATTTACATGCAATGCATCTTTCTTCACCGGACGGATACCTTCGTAGGGCATGTTCACCACGGAAACGTGAACTCAGTGGTCCCTTCTCGAACGGATAATTTATTGTTGCCGGTTCCATGAAGTAATGTCCAGCAATGATACCCATTCCTACAATATATATCTTATTTCCGAACAGGTCCCAGCAAAAACACAAGCAAATTCAACCATTTTACTCTGCTGGATCATCAAAAATAAGAAGATAAAGCCCTTCATAATTCACTTCTTTTGAGGAATAAAAGTTCAGTTGTAGTGTTTGCCAACACTGACCAACTGCCAGCCGAATTTCCGATGGCTTCTTCTTTCAAAGGTTGCGCAGAAGGAAGCTGATTGCTTAGCATATGCCAGTACCAATTTACCATTAAAACTAATTAATAAAACGTAGAATTGGTGTCCCTGGATGGATTCGGACCCCCAATCTTCAACCAGAACAACGCTGCTTGGAACCGTGCCTTCTTTTCCTTGTCGATTTGTGATACCTACAGGACATAAAAGACTGCCCAGGTACTTTTCGCGCAACTAAAACGAACAGGCGGTGGGTGCTAACTGAAAGGAATACAGATCAAAACCAAATGAACAAGAAAAGGTGGATACGTCATTCACACTGTTAAAATTAAATTCAAAAATCAACAGCTCAGGAGGTCTCGGTAATCTTGGCAACATGTATTATCACTGCTCTTTTGATGTATGATCTGGGGTATACTATCTTCAGGCACTCTAAAAAAAAGCTAAAATTGTCCAAAGTTCACCTCGGCAAAGCTCGGTGATAAACAAATAATTCATGCCCTTTCGGAAATCACCCAAAAGTGAGCCATCCGATTCTGCTGGTTCACAGACATATTCTGGAAAATTCAGGCATTATTTCGTAATATATTTCTATTTCCAAATAAATATTTTCATATTTCATATATCTTTATCTTCACAAATATCTTTTTTTTTAATAACAATTAGAAAGTTAAACTCCTCCGGTATATGCTCTGTATGAGAGGCAATTAGAAAACAGCCCCTGCGCATTAGCATATGCCATCATTATTCGCCGGTTGGCAAGGCTGTTGATGCATCCCTCTTTCGAAGTTTGCTTCGGGGTAACCTTTGAAAGCCAAATTCAACTTCCTACCATATGCCAGTACAAATTTACCATCGAAACAAATAAAAGAATCGTAGAGGGGTTGATTGTCTCTCTGATGGAATCGAATCTTTGACCTTTTGCGATTCAGAGCGCTAATTCCAATTCTAACAGTCTTGTTATGTAAATAATTAAATGCCCAGCTAAATTTTCCATTAAAAAAAATAATAATAAATGATGGAACACACATACTGTATGATGATGATGATGAACGCGTCTGTGAACACCCGGCGGCAATGGGAAACCTTCGTAAAATGTTTGCTGTCGTTTGCGCAACCCAAATCCGCAAAGACATCACTGCAACGCACTTTTAACTTTTACGATAATAACGAAAGTCTAGAAAATACTTGGAAACAATCAACTATCGCAAAAATTTAACATCAAAAGCATGGCTATTTTTGAAGCTTGAGAAATGTCCCGGATTTAGTTTCATAAAAAATCTCGATCTGAAGACTTTTGGTCGTACATGAGTAGGGAACATTCCCCTAAAGTTTCAGCTTTCTAGCTTTTCCGGTTCCCGCTTTTTAGACTAAATTGCCTTCAAGTTCTCTTGCCCTTTGCGCTCACCTTCAAGAACGCAAAAGGCAACAGAATTTGACCTGGACGGCGCCATCCGCAATAAACCGAACGGTGTTTCCTTAGGAACTTGCATATGTGTTGTTACAGAAAGCAACTAAAACTCGGCTCGACTGCGCAAATATGCATTCACTTTTGGGTTTGGGGTTCAGGTCGTGAAACCATGGTAGCGGGCCTTTTTTCTAGGAAAGATTGCTAAATTCCTTGCAGCGTGTAGATTCAGGCTGAGCACGAAAAATTCCGCGGCACACTATCCCATAACCCCCCCTCCCCC